CTCCTGGTGAGGGGCCCAAAGTCACGTAGCCATCTTTCATGTCTGAGGTGGAACTAGAACTTACTGACTCCTGGTAGTTGGCCGAAGTCACCCGGCCATCTTTCATGTCTGAGGTGGAACTAGAACTTACTGACTCCTGGTAGTTGGCCGAAGTCATCCGGCCATCTTTCATGTCTGAGGTGGAACTAAAACTTACTGACTCCTGGTAGTTGGCCGAAGTCACCTAGCCATCTTTCATGTCTGAGGTGGAACTAAAACTTACTGACTCCTGGTAGTTGGCCGAAGTCACCTGGCCATCTTTGCCTAAGGTGGGACTAGAACTCTCTCGAAACGGATTCAATTTGGATACAGCTCAACCACCATACTGTTTAGCAAGGGTCTTCAAACTTGGCAAATCTTAAGACTTGTGGACTTCCAACTCCCTGAATTCCTGAGCTAACATGACTGGAGGAGGAATTCTGGGAGTTGAAGTCCAACAAGTCTTCAAGCTGTCAAGTTTGAAGACCCTCCTGTATATAGGAAGAGTCCCCATTTCCAGAATATAGAAGGAAGCAGGGAATTATTCATGTGGGGGCCTAGGACTGGTTTATGGTATGTTCTAAAGTAAGATCCTGCAATCTGGACTCCTCTTAATGTGTCGTGCTTCTAGATCTGATCGTCATTCTGCAATCCCAGGATTCTGGAGCTAGTTTTGTGGCTTTGTGCTGAAGCAACAGACTTGTCTAAACAAGCCGCCATGGGCTGGTTGGCAGATTGCGTGCGGCTGCTGTGCCAAGAGGGTGCTTTGAAGCTGCATTTCAGAGCTGGGTAGGGCTGGGGCCTTGCTTCCAAAGAGGTGTTTAATTAATGGGATGGTATAATCGTGTCTCTCAATCATGGCAGCTTTAGGAGGTGTGGACTTGAACTCCCAGAATTCCCCACCCAAACTTTGCTGGCTGGGGAATTCTGGGAGTTCAAGTCCACATGTCTTAAGGTAAACAACTTTGAAAAACCTTGATCCAGATTGTGTAAAAGTGTTCATGGTTTCACACCTTCTGCTGTTTCTACCCCACAGTGGCATGGTTTGGTTCCCTGCCTGCAAAGCAGGGGTGAGATTCTACAGTTCGCACCTATTCGCTAGAACTGGTTGTTAACCTTCTAAGCAGTTGGGAGAACCGGTTGTTAGAAGAAATTACTGGCCTAATCCTGTAAGGAAGGCAGGAAGGAAACATTCTGGTGTTGCTTACAGAAACTGCCTCTCCGTTAACCCTTATTACATTCTTGGCAGGACTAGATTTCCTGTCTCAGGAACGTCTCTGGAGTTTTTTCCCCACTCCTTTGCTGGTACTTTGCTTGTGTGGAGTGACCATTCAAAGTTACAGTGGCACTTTTAAAAAGTGACTTATGGCCATTTTTCACACTTATGACTGTTGCAGCACCCCCACAATGAGAGGCCAGGTGGGGAGATGCGTGTCTTGAAGTGAGTGATATTGAGTTGGCCACGCCCAGCCAATAACATGACCACCAACTAAGCCACGCCCACAGAACCGGTTGTTAAAAAAATTGAATCCCACCCCTGCTGCAAAGTACAGCTGGTCCTTGACTTACAACCAGAATTTGCACTGCTAAGCAAGGTGATTGTTAAGTGAATCCTGCTCAATTAGGAAACAGTCCAAAAATGCACATGTGGAGTGTACATCTAGAGGAAGTTTTGCATGATGGGATAAGCTTATTTTGAGTATAAATTGGTCGTGTGTGTGTGTGTGTGTGTGTGTGTAGAGCTAAATACCACTCACGCATCATCACAAACTCTCCAGAACTGTAAAGCCTACAAACTTTAAATTTGGCCTGTATGTTCCTCTTGGCTTCTAAGGGCTCACTAAGAAAGGATTTCTCGAAATGACCATCAGAGCATTTAAAGTACTTCCTATATTATTATTATTAACGCGCTCTGATGCTAAAGAGTTCTACTCCCCTTCACCACCTGAAAAGAAATCTCTTCCAAATGCAAAAGACAAGCAGAGGGGAGGCGTTTCGGTTTCAGTTTTAGTTTCACAGTACAGAACAGTTAAGCTCAGCCACGCCCAGGCTCCTTGCTGTTTCCTTGCTCACACAGCAAATGCTGTTTCAGTTTCCAAACAGTCCTCAACTCGCTCACACGCTGACAGGAAGCTAGACAGATGAATACCGATGGATGCTGGTAGGCAGAGGCAGAATTTTTTTCCCCCTTATTTTCCTCCCCCAAAACTAAGCCCGATCACATAATTACGTAGCGAAGCACGAGTATTGAGCTAGTGAAATATAAGCCTGAGTTTTGCAGATACTAGGATGCTGGATGCAGACTAGCAGAGTGGGAAGGGACCTTGGAGATCTTCTAGTCCAACCCCCTGCTCCAGCAGGAGACCCTACACCAGAGAAAGGGTGGTCCTGTCTCTTCTTAAAAACCTCCAGTGTTGGAGCACCCACAACTTCTGGTAGCAAGCTGTTCCACTGGTTCATCGTTCTCCCTGTAGGGAAATTTCTCCCTAGTTCTCTCCTGGATTAGTTTCCCTCTGTTGTTTCTTGTTTGCATTGGTCCACAGAGGTTCTAGGCAGTGGTGGGATTCAAAAGTTTTTACTACTGGTTCTGAGGGTGTGGTCTGGTGGGTGTGGCAGGGGAAGGATATACCGCAAATCCCACTTCCCTCCCCACCCCACTAACCTGCTTTCCAGCTCCGTTCTCCTGTGCAGGGGCAACCAAAGAAGACCCAGCCAATCAGCTGGGACTCTGGAGTCAGAGAAGAGATGAGGTCGGTGGGGCCAGTCAGAGGTGGGATTGGCCGGTTCTCCCAACTACTCAAAATTTCCACTACTGGTTCTCCAGAACTGCTCAGAACCTGCTGAATTGACCACTTCTGATTCTAGTCCAGGCAGAAGAAAAACACCAAGGCTTCAAAATCTGGGACTGGTTTGGACAAAACTCAGCAGCACTTTTTTTCATGCGGCTGTTGATAAAAATAGGATCGCCAACGTCCGATGACGGATATGGCACGAGAAGAAGAAGATAGAGGTTTTCAGCAATTTCTCTCTTAAGACTTCTGAGAAGGTCCCCAAGACAAGGTGTCCTTCCAGAGGTAGAGATTCATCAGAGGGACGCATTCATCAGATCCAGCAAGTTCTGACCAGTTCTGGAGAACCAGAAGCGGAAATTTGGAGTAGTTCAGAGAACCGGCAAATCCCACCTCTGACTGGCCCCGCCCCCATCCGCCTCCCGAGTCCGAGTTGATTGGCTGGGTCTTCCTTGGTTGCCCCGCACAGGAGAACGGAGCTGGAAAGCAGGTTAGTGGGGTGAGGAGGGAATGGAGATTTTTGCAGTATCCTTCCCCTGCCACGCCCACCAAGCCACGCCCACAGAACCAGTAGTAAAAAAAAAAAAATGAATCCCACCGCTGATCAGATCCTCGACAGGATTGTCTTGCGTGTTAATGCAGCTTTGATTGACATTTCTTTTTCCCTCTCTGCGCCCTGCAGAAAGCCAACGGAGAAGGCTGGAATTGACGAAGTCACGGCGGCCGCAGTGCTTACCAGCCTGTCTACGAGTCCGGTGGTGCTGGGCCATCACCCCAATGGTTTCAGCGCAGGTATTCCTTCAGCTGGGAAGGGGGGAAGAGGTCACTCCAGCTTGATGGAGGTGGTCCTTGCCTACGACCACAGTCGCACCTCACCGTTACGTTGCTAAGTGAGAGGCATCTGTTACCTTCGCTTTGCCCCATTTACTGACCTTTCTTGCCACTGTTGTTAAATGAAACACTGCAGTTGGTTCAAGGCGTTAAGTGAGTCCGGCGTTCCCTGTCGCTGTTCTTGGTCAGAAGGTCATGAAAAGGAGATCGCATGCAACCATCATAAATACGAGTCAGTGGCCAAGCATCTAAATATTGATCCCTGGAACATGAGGGTGAAAAAATGGCCTTTTTTTCCGTGCTGTGGTAACGTCGAACGGTCAGTAAATGAACTGCTGTAAGTAGAGGACTATCTGCGGAGACCCGCCTTCCCTGAAGGCAGTGTTTGTCAATCTGGGCAAGTTGAAGATGGGTGGACTTCGACTCCCAGAATTCTCTTCTGGTTTTAAGGCTGTTTGGTAGGAAGTAGGCCTCTATGGCTGCTTTAAGACCTGTGGACTTCGACTCCCAGAATTCTTTTCTGGTCTTAAGGCTTTTTGGTAGGAAGTGGGCCCTGATGGCCACTTTAAGACCTGTGGACTTCAACTCCCAGAATTCTTTTTTTGTCTTAAGGCTTTTTGGTAGGAAGTGGGCCCCTATGGCCACTTTAAGACCTGTGGACTTCGATTCCCAGAATTCTTTTCCGGTCTTAAATCTTTTTGGTAGGAAGTGGGCCCCTATGGCCACTTTAAGACCTGTGGACTTTGACTCCCAGAATTCTCTTCTGGTCTTAAGGCTGTTTGGTAGGAAGTGGGCCCCTATGGCCACTTTAAGACCTGTGGACTTCGACTCCCAGAATTCTCTTCTGGTCTTAAGTCTGTTTGGTAGGAGGTGGGTAGCTATGGCCACTTAAGACTTGTGGAGTTCAACTCCAAGCATTCCTGAGACAGCCTTGCTGGCTCAGGAATGCTGGGAATTGAAGTCCACAGGTTTGGTGTGTGATATAAAGTGTGTGTATCAGCCAGGGGTCTGTTTTTGTCTCTCTCTTACTTTTCCCAACTCTTTAAGAACAAGTCTCAAGTTAGGGATTTGGGGCGGTGAGAATATTTTCCACCCGAGCCAAAAAAAAAAAAAAAAGATATTAAAGTTCTAAATATAAACATTTGTCATGCAGTATGTGTTGTTTATGACTCTTGGCTGGTTTTGTGTTCTTTTGTTATTTATAGGTTCCCTTACCATTAAAAAAAAAAAAAAACCCACACCAATCCCAAAACCGTTTTGGTATCTCAGGGAATAACAGTGACAAGTTTGAAGGGCCCCAGTGAAATAGAATAATAAGATTGAAACCAAATTGCAGAACAAAACCAAAATGCAGGGAATAGGAGTGGAATCAAAGGTATGTTGTGGTGTTTTGTGATGAGAGGGAAAGCTTCTTAGTGCTAAGATCTGTCACTAAATAACAGGATAACAGAGTTGGAAGGGACCTTGGAGGTCTTCTAGTCCAACCCCCTGCTCAAGCAAGGAACCCTATACCATTTCTGACAAATGGCTGTCCAATCTCTTCTTAAAATCTTCCAGTGTTGGAGCATTCACAACTTCTGGAGGCAAGTTGTTCCACTGATTAATTGTTCTCACTATCAGGAAATTCCTCCTTAGTTCTAGGTTGCTTCTCTCCTTGGTTAGTTTCCATCCGTTGTTTCTTTTCCTGCCTTCAGGTGCTTTGGAGAATAGCTTGACTGCCTCTTCTTTGGGGCAGCCCCTCAGATATTGGAAGACTGCTATCATGTCCCCCGTAGGCCTTCTTTGCTCTAGACTGGCCATACAAATGAAACAAAAAATGTTAAAAATATTGTTATGATGTTTATGTAATGATTTACCAATCACATCTAAAGTATATTAAAGTAACCAAAATATATAAGGAGAGAAGGAACCTGGAACTAAGGAAGAATTTCCTGACAGTGAAGACAATTAAACAGTGGAACTACTTGCCTCTAGAACACGGGTCTTCAAACTGGGCAAGTTTAAGACTTGTGGACTTCAACTCCCAGAATTCCTGAACTAACATGATTGGAGGAGGAATTCTGGGAGTTGAAGTCCACAAGGTCTTCAAGCTGTCAAGCTTGGAGAGCCCTGCTGTAGAAGTTGTGAATGCAGCAACACTGGAAGTTTTTAAGAAGAGATTGGATAACCATTTGTCTGAAATGCTATAAGGCCATGATGGCAAACCTATGGCATGTGTGCGGGTGAATCTGTGGCCATTTTTGTGGGCATGTGAGCCGCAGCCAAACTTACGTACACTGCGCGCACCTCCCAGGTGATTTTTGGCCTGTTTGAGGCCATTTTCACCCTTCAGCGGGCTCGAGGGAAGCCTCTGCAGCCTCGGGAGGCTGAAAAACAGGCCTTCCGGAAATACCGGAAGTGACAAAACGGACCCATTTTTCGGCCTCCCAAGGTTGCAGAGGCTTCCCTCGAGCCTCCGGGAGGGTGAAAACGGCCTCAAACGGGCCAAAAATCAGCTGGGAGACACACACATGCGCAGTGCAGGTTAGGGTTGGGGCGAGGGTGTTGTGCACGCATGCGCAGGGGGGCGCGGTGCATTGCATTGTGGGTGCCAGCATTCGCATGCTTTCGGCACACCATAACAAAAAGGTTCGCCATCACTGCTATAGTGTTTCCTGCCTAAGCAGGGGGCTGGACTAGAAGACCTCCAAGGTCCCTTCCAACTCTGTTATTCTAATTCTAAACTCGGTCCCTGCAACCATTCTTTCTATCTTTTAGTCTCCAGGCCTTTAAAACATCATGTCCTGGGGCTTCTCATGAGCTGTCCCCTTTTGTGACAAGCCGTCAATGGTGCAGATCGATTCCCTTAACCACCATGTCCTTAATTAACGTCAGTGATTTGCTTAACGAGCGGTGGCAAGAAAAGCCATAAAAGGGGGCAAAGCTCACTTCACAATTGTCTCGCTTCGCGGCAGGAATTTGGGCCTCCGTTGCGGTCGTAAGTCGAGGACTCCCCGCAGCTAGTTGAACCTTACGCTTGGGGAGTCTGTTTGTTTCAGGCTTTCTAACCTCGCTGCCTGTTTTGTTTTGCGACAGAAATGAACTGTGACGTGTGGAAAGCAGCCCCCGTGAGGTCTTCCAGCTGCTCCAGCAGCAACCACAGTGGCGATGGGAGCTGGGATCCCCCGAGTGACTTTTCCACCCCCTCCACTCCTTCACCGCCCCTGACCGCCGACATCACGACCAGCATCCTGTCCTCCCTGCAGTCCGACCTGGAGGAAACAGAAGCCACCCAGTTTCTCTTTGGGGAGCCCGTACCCAGGAAGAGGAAGGTGAGAAGGGTGTGTGTGTGTGATGACCCGGGGTATGACACAAAAATAACACAGTCACCAAAGTAGAAGAAATTCCCTTTAATGCCTCCAACTTGGCCCCCAATGTCCAATTATACTCGACTGGATAACAGACTCTTCCAAAAACAGTCTACGAAGAGAGTAAATGCAGCCCAAACCCAAAGTAAAGATAATCAGAAATAAAATAAAAAAATACAAACCACACTGAAGTAATTAACACGGCAGGCCAGGATGATAAATTGCAGACTTCCACAAGATAACACCGCAACCACAGTTAAGAGGACGCCAAAACCCAGATAAGCCGAAGATAATGCACGCTTTGCTTCCAGCAAAGAGTTGCGTAGAATGCCCCACTTATATCCTGTTCTCCCAGCTGCAACTAATGACAGGGATCAGGGCCTTTTTCTCTCCCGTAAGCCATGTTGCTCCCTTCTCCGTTCCTCTCTGCGTGCCCTAGGATGAAGAGGGGATGGCCTTGGGTCTTGCTCTGAACTCCCTCTCCCTTGTTCTACCTCTCTCCTGCTCTGCCCAGCCGGACTTTGCCCTTCCTCAGTTTCCTCCACAGCCAACAGAGTCACGCTCCCACTCCCTGTCAGCTGTCCGTCTTCCTCCTCGGATTCAGACTCCGACAGGGGCACGACATCACTCCTTGATTCCATTATCTCTTTGAGTTTCTCTCTAGTTTCTTGGGCCGCAGATGAGATGGCGGGGAAAGTTAAATAGTCCAGGGATCTGACCGATGGTAGAATTTGAATCTCCAGGAGGACCTTTGGAATCCTGAGACGGGATGAGAGGTCCACCGGACCTAAGCTGCATGTTCTCACGTTACAGAACTCCACGAAGGTGATGTTCAAGTGTTTGTGGAAGAGCTGTGGGAAGGTTCTCAGCAGTTCCTCGGGGATGCAGAGGCACATCCGAGCCATTCACCTGGGGTAGGTCAGCCTCTTGGTCATTGGGAAGACGCGTCTGTGTGGTGGCAGGTGTGAATAGGTTGACTTCTGAGAAGGGAGTTCCATAGGATCTACCAACTGGCTTCCCACCACTAAGATCTAATGTGTCTTTGTTTTCTTCTGCACCTGGCCGAATCAGGTCACGGGTCTGTTTAATGCAGCCTGCCAGGGTCTCGTGGTGGCTACCGAATGACCTTCAGAAGCTCACCAAGTCTGGGTTGGGGGAAGGGAGCGGACGGAGCCCTTTCGCCACTATAGCTCTTAGCAGCAAAGACTAAAATAGATTGACTGTGATTCAGGGTTAGGAAAGCGCCCTCCAATAATCATAGCAAGGACAATCATGGATTCCCCTTTGGAAGCCATCTAGGTAGGCTTCCATTAGAACCATCATCCACCAGATGCTGTTTCCTGGGCAGGGCTACGTATGTATAAAGGGGGTGCCATGGTTGAGGAAACTCCATTGTTGATAGCCACCTGCCTGGCTTCCTTTGAGGAGGAGGAGGACGTCTGAAGAAGGACCCACAAAGATTTCAAATGGCTGGGTGGGAAATTCGCCCAAGTGGGAGTTAGGCATGGGCCAAAGACCTACCGGTGATGGTACTAGGAAAGGAGGTTGAGATTATACCAGAAAAGAGACGATGGATACCAGAAAGGAGAAGGTTGAGAGGATACTAGAAAGGAGAAGGTTGAGATGATACCAGAAAGGAGAAGGTTGAGATG